TTGTGAGGCAGAGTTCTGCGAGGAGGGGTTCTCAGGCTGGGTTCTTGAAAATTGGCTGGGATTAGACTTCTCAAAATTCCCTTCTTTCAGAAACCTTGTTCTCAAGCTATGTGTGAACAATTTAATAGTCGGTAACCTGTGAATGGAGTACACGGGCCAAAGTTTGAGTGTTAAGTGGTCAAATGATAAATGATTTCAGAAGAACTATGTGAGAATGGGATTTTTTTGTTGGTTTGTTTTTTGAATGTGGTGCAATGGCACATGGACTTTTTAAAAAGTCTCTGTGTTTTGGAGTATGGGTAAAAATGGGTTAGAACCCCCTGTCATAGCATCCCCTAGCAGGCTTTTAGTTCAGACGTGCTGTTTGGGTGTTCTCAGACTGGGACAAGTCAGGACTGGCCAGCACATGAAAAGCAGATGCTGTGCAGCTTGTCGTAAAAACAGCGCGAAGGAGCTCTGGAGCTCTGATGCAAAGAAAGCTGAAGGCTAACCTATAACTTTGCTATTGTTCACATTATTTAAAGGTTGGATGTCTCTTTTTGTGTTCTGGTGATTAGAGAGCAGTTCTCGGATTTCATAAGAGCCCAAACGTTATTACAACAATTATTGTGTTGCTTCATTCCAAAACTCCTTTACTATCGTATTTAGCAATATGAACTGCAGGGTAATTTTAAAAGCAGATTAGCCACCAGGATAATGTACGGGACTGGCTTTTTCTTTATTTTAAACATAGAAAAGTGGTACCAGGATCAGAGCTTGCAACACTGGGAGGATTCCTGCAGCGTTACACCCTCAGACGTGCAGGGTGGAGGTGCCTTTGTCGGTGGAAGTGTCTTTACACTTCCCCTTTCCTTAGGTGGGTCACTTTGAACGCCGTTTGGGTGGCTGTTACTAAAAGTGAAAGAGGGAGGAAAGGAGCTAATTAAGACCTGACTTTTACAAAGCCCATTTCTTCTTTTTTTTTTCTTTCCCCCCCTGTATCCTCCAGTTCCTGGTGTTATGCTGACAGGTAACCCGAGGTTGCACGCTGTGGTGGCCGCTCCCGGCTGCAAGCTGAGGTCTGTTCCAGTGCCTTTGGCTTTCCCGTGCAGCCGCCGGCTCCGCGCGTTTCCGTGTCGTCCTGTAGGTAATAGCCCGGTTGCTCGACTTGGCTTCCCCGCTCTTATTCGTTATGCAAGTGGCTGTTTTGCATTTCTAATTAATTCAAGTGCTGCTCTATGTTCTGAGAGTTTTCTCAGTACTCGGAGTTGCAGGAGCCGCGATGGAGGGAGGTATATCGCTCTACCGGAGAGTTGGGACACGTTTGAAGGGCAGAATTTGTCTTTAGGCATTTGGGAATTAACTTGCATCCCTCGGAGGAGAGGCAAGTCTGATACAAAGTCTGGAAGGCTGGATGGGGTGTGTTTTAGGCAAAAGTGTAATATATTTCCTCTTTCTGAAATGCAAGTAGAATTAAAAAATACAAAGAAATTTGTGTACACCTTTGTGTACACAAATAAGATGGATTTCCTACAAAACTTTTGCCTTATAGTTCCTGTTTTGGGAACCCAACAACCTGTAAAAAATGTTTAGAATTAGTGTCAGTAGTTTTAATGTGAACCCTGGACCACAGAAGCCTGGGAGCAGGTTCATTTGTCTGAACAAGTTAAGGCCTGGGGCCAGTTTTCCAGTTTCTGGGTTGTCTCTTTCTGCTACTCCAGAGCGCAGCCGGGCTGGGCAAGTGGATGTGTGGATGCGGGAGGGCACGTGTGGATGCAGGAGGGGACGTTTGGATGCGGGAGGAAGGGGACGTGTGGGTGTGGAAGGAAGGGGACATTTGGATGCGGGAGGTAGGGGACGTTTGGATACGGGAGGAAGGGGGCGTGTGGGTGTGGGAAGGGGATGTGTGGATGCGGGAGGAAGGGGAGGTGTGGATGTGGAAGGAAGGGGACGTGTGGATGTGGAAGGAAGGGGACGTGTGGATGTGGAAGGAAGGGGACGTGTGGATGTGGAAGGAAGGGGACGTGTGGATGCGGGGGGAAGGGGACGTGTGGATGCGGGAGGAAGGGGACACTTGGATGCGGGAAAAAGGGGACATTTGGATGCAGAAGGAAGGAGACGTTTGGATGCGGGAGGAAGGGGACGTTTGGATGTGGGAGGAGGGGGACGGTTGGATGCAGAAGGGCCGAGCAGCGCTGCTGCCTTGCGTGGTGCCGGCTGGGCCGGGTGCCCATGAGGTGGGAGCGTCACTCGTGTTGCTGTCACGTGCAGCTGCTGGATCTCAGGAAAGGAAAAGGTTCTCTCCGTAGCTCCTGGGACACGAGTGCCAGCACCAGCCTTCTCAAGTTAAACTGAGAGAAAACCTGGATTTGGAATGACTGTGACCATTGCATTGGATGCGCTCGTAGGCTCTAATGAATTACAGAAATTCTTTGACTGCACTAAAGAAATCTGTAGCGCCCAGAAGAGCATCTAGGCTGATGGCTTCCTCATCTCTGAAAGAAGTCTGTTCTCAGAAACGTGTCTGCGTTTTGGTCGGATGTAAAACATAAAATACTGCTTTGGGAAATTTTTTTTTTTTTGAGCCTTAAAAACCAGAGACCTAAACTTTGAGATATTTTAACTGTTACAATTCTTACTTCTATCTGGAGGCAGAAATCTAAAAACTTACAGAAAAAACCCTGTAAAATCCTGAGCGTTAGAATTTAGGGTACTTTTTTTCTGTAAGTGGATCAGCCAGATGTCCCATCCTCCCTGTCAACCTCGCTTTTCTCTGCCCCAGAGTTTGGTAGCTCTGGTTCCCTTTTACCTACCTGAGAAGCTGCAGCTGGAAAACAGATGATTAAGACTCCTCTGAAACCTTTGGCACACCCCTTATTTAAGGAGCAGCTCAGCCCATTCTGTGGTTACACCCACCCTTAGATGCAGGCTCTGAGTCCTGAGCTGCGTGCTGCCAGCACGGGTCTGCGCACAGCGGTGAGTGAGCGTTGTATTGCAAGCAGTAGAGATGAGGAAAAAAGCCCCCAAACTTCCACAGTGGAGTAAGTCTTCTGTCCTTCAGCATTTTCGTAGGTTATCACTGCTTAATTGCTTATTTTATGTTACCGCCTTTCTCTGTATTAACCACAAGAATGGGCCAGAGTTCTAAATGCGGAGCTGCAGGTACGTCTTTGCTGAGAGTCCAGGGAACCTCCGCGTTGGCTGTGCTGGTCTGATTCTTTTGGGAGGGGAAGGAGCAAGCTGCAAAGTTTCATGCTGAATTCTTCCCGAGTATACCCAAAGCTCAGGACCACACCTGCCTGGTGGAAGATGACAACTGGTTTACAAGCCATCTGCTCCTGGCGTTCCCTCTGTCCACCACGTTGGTTGCTGTGCCACGTCAACGGGTTTAGAGAAACCAGGCTCCTCGTACCCATCTTGAACAGTGGTGGCTATTTTAGCAGCTAAGAATTAAATGCATGTACTCTTAGTGAAGCGGCTAAATTAATCCTATTAGAAATGGTAAGTGTGTGGGGAGAGAGGAATTAATTCCTGAACAGCAGTTAATCCTGAGAGGAAGACACGGTTTGAGATAAGGTTGATTTGTAGGGAAGTGGGGATCCCACAGGAAGCTGATTGGGGATTAGTTCAGTTTCGAGTTGTAAAAGGGTGTTAGAGTTACGAGAAGGATGTGGAGAAGACGCAGTGTGTGGGAGTTGCTAGGTAAGACGTACATCTACCTGTGTGGCAACGGCCGGGGAATCCCAAAGGCAGAGGTAATGAATGCACAGAAATGTAAAGACAGCTTTGAAAAAAAACCCGCGCTGCACAGAGCAACCTGTGTGATGATGGGAGGCTGCTGTAAGTATTTAATTTCTAAAACCAGCCATCAGGTGGTGGTGGCCGTGTCTGGCAGGGCTGAGGAGGCACCGGGCTGGGGCAGAGCTGGAGAAGCAGCGCGGTTTGTCACCGAGGGACGTGGCTGTTGTCTCAGCACGATGCTGGGGACTCTCGCTCCACGGTGTCTCGGCTCCACGGTGTCACGAGGCGTTTTCTGGACAGGGAGGCTGAGGCAGGTGGCTTCCCTTGAGAGGGGTGAGCAGGCCACTGAGGGGAACATTTCAGGCCAGGGATGGGGCGGGGACGAGGCTGCCCTGCGCAGCATCTGCTGCTGGCCCGGACGAGGAGTGTGCCCGGGGGAACTCGGGGTCACCGACTGCGTCCTGCGCCAGAGCCCCTGCTGGGAGCAGAGAGGAGGGATGGTGGAACAGCGCGGGCGGGAGGAGAGGAATTGCACCTGTGAGAGAGAGAGGAGGGAAAGGGAGGGACATGTCCTCCTTTCCTCTGTCAGGTACGGTTCCTCCTCTGCCCTGCCCCACGATGTGCCGCCCAAGCCGACGCCTGGTCTGAGGCTTCCTGACACACAAAGTCAACAGCTCTGACTTTTAATCCCAAATAAAGCTAAGTTGTCCTTAGAAGCAACCATAGTCAGTAAGCTGCTTAAGTGTTAAGAAGTAAGGTGCTTTTTGCTTAAAGCAGATAGAATTATTCCATAGATTGTCTTTAGTTATGGGAAGGTATTTTAATTCCCAGGTTACGGTTTGTCCGTAGCCTGATGTGGGTGTGATTTAGTGACCAAATCAGAAGCACCTCTTCTCATTCACGTTGCAGAGCAGTACAAGGGTGCCAACAGCTCACTGTGGGTTTGGGCCATCATCGATGCTGGTTTTCTCTCTGGAGTGGGGTGGCTGGAGGTCTCTGTGGTGCCCAGGCGGTGGTGGGGAGGGGGAGGTGAGGGGTGTCCGCGAGGGGGCACAGCGTAGGGGGAGGCCAGCGTTAAAGCGGGGCCAGCAGTTTGTGACAACCTTTTGCCTCTTAAGGCTCAGCAGCTAGCATGACTAGGGAAACCTGTTATGCTGTTTTTATTAAATGTTAATATTACAGTACAACCCGCCCTTTGATTTTTTACAGCAGAAGTAAAACAAATTATTTTTTAACTTCTCTATGAATATGCAGAGACTGTCGAGCGCGCAGCTGCGGAGTCAGGATTCCGTGGGAGACAGCCGTGTGTCCAGTTCGGTTTTGGGGCTTGTGTGAACTGTTTTCCGAAAGGTCTTTACTCGTCTGTACAACACCTTTTCCACAAACGGCTTGCACAAGAAGAGGTATATGAGGGGGTCCGTGCAGACGTTGGTGGCAGCCAGCCACAGGGTGCTTTCCTTGGCCACAAAGAGCCGGTTCTGCAGGCGACCGTCCATGCGGGTGCTCGTCTGGCTCAGGTTTGTAGGGAACCCTGCTGAAATGGAAGGGGGCAAAGCATAAGAAAAACACGGTGAAAATGATGAATACTTTCCCCTTGATCCTTTTTTCACTTTTGTTGTCTTTCTTCTGTGTTTTTATGTAAGACTCGTATACCTTTTTGGCTATAACTGTATAAAACACAAACATGAGGATGAGAACGGTCCAGAAGATGAACTGACAGATGTAACTGACGGCCTCGTGCCATTTGAGTCCCAACTGACTCTTCAGCGAGGCACATTTCTTCACGGATTGGGGCGTCGCTTTCTTGTTCGATAAGATCATGTTAGGCAGAGAGATGGCGAGGAAGAAGAGCCAGACTAGACCCGCCAGGATCTTTGCTGAGGTCAGGTTTTGCACCCAGAACTTCCCAAAAGGTCTCACAATCTTGAGAAATCTGTCAGAAGCAATGAGACCGAGCAGCACAATGCTGATGTACATGGTGTCATAAAATACGACGGCTGAGAAGCGACAGACGAAGGCTTTGAGTTGCCACGGTCCCAGGCCAGAGTCCGTCAGGATTTTCAGAGGAAGCATCAGGGTCATTATAAAATCAGAAACTAAGATGTTTTTCAGGTAGATGATGAAAGTTGATGTACTTGGAATATGGAAGAAAGCCCAGCAAGCCAGGCTGTTCAGTACGAGTCCGAGGAGGAAGACGAGCGTGTAGAGGACTGGGAAGACCAGGTGGGTGACGGTGGTGTCTCGGTGGCACCGGGCTCCACTGGAGTTGCTGACGATACTCTCGTTTGCAAAGTCTCCCATTGTTTGAACTAGACTTGGGTGAAAAGAGAGAGAAGACAGAAAACGTAACATTCTGCATTCAAAGGTACGCGTTCCTTACGGTGACTGGCAGGTTTACAAAACTAAAACCTGAGTGTCCATTAAACAGACTGACTGATCTCTCTTCGGATTCATAGGAAATCTGAATCTTTACCCAAGTTTAAGTTGTTTACAGACTAAACGTCTGATGAAAAGTTAAAGCAGTGCGTGTCCATTATGGAGGTGTAAGATACTATAATAGCAAGGGGTAACAGCAGATTGCCCAGGGCACCAGCTGTATTCACATGGAAATCTTGACATGGAGTAGAAATCTTAGAGCTGTGGCCCAAAAGCAAGGCGCTCCTGGAGGAGCAACCAAGCACGCACCATTTTTAGCTCTCTCGGCACAGATTTAAATAACGTTTTCAGGTCCATGCAGCTGGTTATCAGCCTGTCCCATCTGAAAGCCCGATGACCGCGTGCCCCGACACACCACGTGAGCGCTCCCGGCCTGCGAGTACCTGAGCAAACCT